GATCTTGCAAGAACCGACCGCAACTTCCTTCCTAAGCTGCGTGTGACTTCTTCCTCTTCCCAAAGAAGAAAATTCAGGTAAAGGGAAGGAGATTTGAGACGATAGAAGAGATTCAGGCAGAATCGCAGATGGTGCTTGACAGGCTGACAAAGAAAGATTTCCAGGGATGCTTCCAGGCTTGGCAGCGGCGCTGGGATCGTTGTGTTCACTCCCAGGGGAACTACGTCGAGGGTGATGGATGAATTTAATACCTGAGATAAGTGTACGGGTTTTTATAGGCGCAGTCTGGAAACCTTTCGATCGCACCTCGTAGTTTGATTTAATTCTCTGAGTTGTATTCATGTTTTTGTAGTAAAGGTGACTTTCTCTGGAATTAGGTATTGACATGAGGACAGCTTTGATAGTTTTATGACCCATTGATTTCATCGGGCCATTCCCGTATTCTTCTGCTGTGATTCTGTCCAGTATGTGTCATAGAAGATGCACTAGAATCTAGCTAACTGCCAGTTGTGCGACAAAGTGTCGAGATGCAAGATCTGTGCCATAGCCGTGGAAAGTTAATCGAGGAAGAGTGTCCCGTCAGTTTACGGCTGCAGGTCGGAATGTGTTAAGGAATTAAACTTTTTTTTTTTTCTAGGGTCATCTGGGTGATCAGGACTTCTACACGTTACTAGCAATGGAGCATCCCTATCTGGTTCATCTGCTGCCATGTGTATGGAATCGTCAGTTGTGTACATGGTGGAGGGACCACGGCTATCGAGATGTGTTTGACGCATTTGCGTACTGTAATGGAACTGTAAAGCTCTACCATGGTAACTGTAACACACCCATTCCTGATTGATACAATATGAATTTAGGAAAATTACATTTTTATATCATCTTTAATACTAAGCACACATATGATATAAATGGCAAAGCGTTCCCTAGATGTTTCAGGGTTGCCAAATTCTGGGAGCTGCTTCATAGAATTGCTTAGCTGAAAGTGTTTTAATTTACAGTATACTAATAGAAACCTTTATTAATATAACTGTTGGTGTTCAGATTATATTATTAAGTACACATCAATATATTCCTCTCATAATTTATTGACCAAGTGGCTGAAATAATTTAATTTTGAAGATTCAGCAGCTGATTGGTATATGACATTGAGTGTTCAAGAAATTTCCTGTTATGGAACTGGAAAGTGCGCTGCTGTTACCACAAAAATCCATAACCTGTTTCCATAAGTATTTTAATATCATGCACCCATTTATGTCTTAGTGTTCCATGTGGTTTCTTTCTACGAGAGTTCCGAACCAGGTCTTTATCCTTATTTTAAATGTAATTAGATTTCCATGTGCATTTTCCATTGAGAGTATTTACTGATGTGCCATATGTAAAACATAACAAATATTTAGTGATAACATTTTGTTTTTTTTATATTCTAATACACTACACGGTATGCAAAGTTTTAAGATTTTGAAAATTATTACATACTATAATTATAGACATCTGCAATACCAAATGCAAATACAAGGCCCTGTACTGAAACAGTTCTTTACCAAAAAGGCAATACAGTTAACATCTTAGACCAAACAGTATAGTCTTTTTATTTGAAAAAGACAGAATTATTTATCACTGCAGGTAACATCAGTTGCTGGGGGGGGTTTGATTCTGTCCCAAGATGTCGGCAATGTATGGAGCTAGTAAAAAACAGTGACAGAGAGCAGTGACTGTTGTTTTGTATGGGTGCGAAACATGGTCTCTCACTCAGAGAGAGGAACGCAGATTGCAGGTGTTTGAGGAGGATATTTGGGCCTAGGAGAGAAGACGATGGGGCGTGGAGAAAACTGCATAATGACGAGCTTAAAAATCTGTTTCCTCCCCCAATATTGTCAGGGTGATTAAGTCGAGAAGAATGAGATGGGTTGGGCATGTAGCGCGCATGGATGGGACAAGGGGTGTGCACCGGGTATTTGGTTGGGAAGCCGGAGGGGAAGAGACCGCTGCACAGTGGGATAGATTGCGATTCTAGCCGGAAAAAAATAATTTTTCTCACATTTAAATATGTCAGTATTTTTGCTTGGATTCTGTTAATAAAGATCCCTTCTATAAGAAAATGGCAAGAATACATGTTTTAAACAAGACTAGCGCACCCCAGCTTCTCTTATGTTGGTGTTGAAGGAGGGAGAGATGTTTATGTTAGTAGTCTGTTCCAGACAGATTGGAAGCAAGACCCTTGTAGCAGAAGACGAAAGGAATATCTTTTGATATTTTAAATGGAAGTTATTGAGGAAGGTATGTAGTATATTTTGTAGAAGGTTTTGTATAAATATCTGTATTATTTTTATACATACGGCACGCTAACCCAATTGTGGCGCTTTTATTGATCATTTTTCATCTTACCGATGTTCACATAGAATTTTAGTTTGCTAGAGTCATCGAGAGTCACGACCAAATTCACGTGAAAATATAGATTAGAGTATGCGCTTTAAGATGAGGCCTGTTTCGATTGCTAGTTTTTGCTAATGTGAGTGTCGTGAATTTTTTCCAGAATTAGGAGCAGCTCCGCCAATCTCGTACCGAATATCATTTCCGTTGTTGTGCAAAAGGAATACAGATTGTGATGAACTTTATGCTTATATTCTTAAAAGTTTAGATATTGTATAATGTTATTCCGAAAATAGAAACCGTTTAAGAGTGGGCGAAGAAAACTTTTTCAAGAATGTAGTGATAGAGGAAAACGGAAAAAATTCAGCCTTTATTGGAAAATCATGAAGAATCGGCGAATATTTCTGGAATTAATGAAGATCTTATTTGCCGATTTTCTATAATTTTGTGCACCTTGTCCTGTGGACACACAGTGAATGTTGAGGCATTTGATAAATATGCCATGGAAACAGGAAATTTATGACTAAATTTATATCCATGGTACTACATGCCTGCAAGTGTCCACAAGATACTGATTCATGGCGGAAAAATTATAGAATCTGCCATTCTGCCTATCGGATTGTTATCTGAAGATGGCCAGGAGGGCAGGCACAAAGGTGTGCGAAGATACAGACTCGATCCCACCAGGAAATGTTCCCGCAAACGAAATTTATAAGATGTCCTGCACATGTTAATAGTTTCTTCTCATCCTTTAATATCGTAGATTAAACAGGCCTCGAGAGCAAGGAAGTACTCAAATTATTGAAGGAATCGGATATTGATGCTGATGAGCAAGAACATGAGGACGAGGAAGGATACAGCTCTTCGGATGTCTGTTCCGATGAAGAATACTGATATGACTTCCGATGAAGAATACTGACATGAATAATGGTCTGAGTTAAATATTTATGTATTAATGTTGTGTATTCGAAAGTAGATTAGCTTTTTATAATTATATTTGCAGTGTAGTGATATATGTTTCTACTAACTTGACTTGCATGCATTATTTTTCCATATTCAGAGGCGTATTTCGCCCTTTTTACACATAAAACTACGTAATATTTATTATAAACTAATGTATCACACTTTTTGTTAAAGACTAGCGCACCCCAGCTTCTCTTATGTTGGTGTTGAAGGAGGGAGAGATGTTTATGTTAGTAGTCTGTTCCAGACAGATTGGAAGCAAGACCCTTGTAGCAGAAGACGAAAGGAATATCTTTTGATATTTTAAATGGAAGTTATTGAGGAAGGTATGTAGTATATTTTGTAGAAGGTTTTGTATAAATATCTGTATTATTTTTATACATACGGCACGCTAACCCAATTGTGGCGCTTTTATTGATCATTTTTCATCTTACCGATGTTCACATAGAATTTTAGTTTGCTAGAGTCATCGAGAGTCACGACCAAATTCACGTGAAAATATAGATTAGAGTATGCGCTTTAAGATGAGGCCTGTTTCGATTGCTAGTTTTTGCTAATGTGAGTGTCGTGAATTTTTTCCAGAATTAGGAGCAGCTCCGCCAATCTCGTACCGAATATCATTTCCGTTGTTGTGCAAAAGGAATACAGATTGTGATGAAATTTGTGCTTACATTCTTAAAAGATTAGATATTGTAGAATGTTCTTCCGAAAATAGAAACCGTTTTAGAGCGCTTTTGAAGAATCTACGTAGCAATTTTAATAAAAAGTGGGTACAGTGTCACCACAAAAGGAATTTCATTTTAGATGTGAATCTAAATTTGCCAGAAACATTAGTAGAGCAGATAAAACAAAGTAACAGGGATGAGCCATCCACAAGTGGGGTTAGGGGTTGGCGAAGAAAACTTTTTCAAGAATGTAGTGATAGAGGAAAACGGAAAAAATTCAGCCTTTATTGGAAAATCATGAAGAATCGGCGAATATTTCTGGAATTAATGAAGATCTTATTTGCCGATTTTCTATAATTTTGTGCACCTTGTCCTGTGGACACACAGTGAATGTTGAGGCATTTGATAAATATGCCATGGAAACAGGAAATTTATGTGTTAATTTATATCCATGGTACTACATGCCTGCAAGTGTCCACAAGATACTGATTCATGGCGGAAAAATTATAGAATCTGCCATTCTGCCTATCGGATTGTTATCTGAAGATGGCCAGGAGGGCAGGCACAAAGGTGTGCGAAGATACAGACTCGATCCCACCAGGAAATGTTCCCGCAAACGAAATTTATAAGATGTCCTGCACATGTTAATAGTTTCTTCTCATCCTTTAATATCGTAGATTAAACAGGCCTCGAGAGCAAGGAAGTACTCAAATTATTGAAGGAATCGGATATTGATGCTGATGAGCAAGAACATGAGGACGAGGAACTTCCGATGAAGAATACTGACATGAATAATGGTCTGAGTTAAATATTTATGTATTAATGTTGTGTATTCGAAAGTAGATTAGCTTTTTATAATTATATTTGCAGTGTAGTGATATATGTTTCTACTAACTTGACTTGCATGCATTATTTTTCCATATTCAGAGGCGTATTTCGCCCTTTTTACACATAAAACTACGTAATATTTATTATAAACTAATGTATCACACTTTTTGTTATCAGAATTTTCATTTTCAATATTCAGATTAAAAAAAATCAAATTTCGATTTTTTTCCGGCTAGAATCGCAATCTATCCCACTGTGCGCTGGGGAGACCTAGACGTAGATGGGAGGATAATGTCAGGCGGGATCTATGGGAGATAGGAGTTGAAGGAGACTGGATTTTGTTGGCCCACGACAGGGTCTGGTGGAGGGCTTTGGTTAGTTTGGTGATGAACCTTTGGGTTCCGTAAGCCAATTAGTTAGTTAGACAGAAAGTAGTGAGCCTCTGATAAATATATCCCATTGCTGACGTCAGGAGTGTGGTACCTTGAGTGACTGTTAGTTCCTCATGTGGCCAGGATTAGTCTTAAGGAAAAAGGAATTCACTTCAGATGTTCAAATGCATTCCTTCTTGATTAGTTATTTTCTGCTCATCATACAATCATTTTACAAGATCTGTCACTACCGTCATGACAGTGAAGATGGTGTTGGCCTTCTGGGCGTGGATTTGTAGGAAGATATTAGTATTTTTGAGGAATATATTGCCTCCAGATGTAGGCCAACATTGATGGGGTAAATAATGATTGTAAGCTTTTTGTCTGAGAAGACAACAAAAGAAGGAATTATTAAAGATGGTTAATTAGAGAGGGATGGAGAAATTATTTTTGTATTTGAAACTTATCTCCTCAGTTCAACACAGTTTTCAGAACCCACAGTATAAAGGAACCGTCGAAAGTTTTAGAAGCATGATAAAGAAATCAGTGTGATTCTTACAGTTGTGTTAAAATTTTCCTTCTTTAGGTGTTGTTTCTGCGTGAAATAATGACCAAAGATTAGGCGCAGGTTTTCAGTAGATTTTTGTAGATGTCGATGTGGTCAGGGAACACGGCACTGCTTTGAACTAGGATTGTATTAATCTTAGAGTCAAGCTGTGCTGAGAAAACCAAGGAGTATTTTTTGAGTTTACAGCATTAAAAATAATATATCTCTTTATTTTTAAGTTATATTCTTGACATTTTCACTGAATATTAGGAATGTACAGTAAACTTATAATTATCATATACAGTAAACAAACCAACAACTATTAACACTATAATAGACACTAGAAACGATTCTGGTGTACACAGGTAAAGACGCAACTATAGCTCGCCGAAACCAGCTACGGCCACCGAACACGGGATCAATAGCTAAGTGCAAGTTTTACTCCTGTGAGTAACAGCATCTAGTGGGGTGTCACTTCAAAAATCTTGTCAAATACCATTTCATTTTTAATTATGAATCTAGTTCGAACCATTTTACTATATGTATTAATTTCACTGATGATTACCTCCTGAGGTCGAAACGCGTATGACAATAGTGTCTATTATAGTGTTAATAGTTGTTGGTTTTGTTTACTCTATATTCTAATACACTACACGGTATGCAAAGTTTTAAGATTATTTATTTATTTTAAATAAATTGCCGTGCCGTATGTTGGGAAATTATAAACTAATGTGCCCGCGAATATTTTCTGATCCATTTACCTCCTTTGGTATCCTATAACCCGGATAGAAACATCAAAAACTCAGAGCCAGGTGACCTGCTCCGCCCTCT